ATACGGGCGCTTGAATATGCAATATTAGGCGTTTATCAGAAGGCACAATTGATAACACACAGCTCTTCTTCGTTGCCGTCTCAACATCACTCCTCAACACCCCACAAGAAGGAGTAGAAGAAGAAGGAGCAGTAAGAGAACTCCGAGGGTGAAAAACAGAGGACATACCTGGGTCGTTAATAGAAGGAGTGCGAGTCCACTTCTGTTTATCTTTTCTAGACCATCTATTACCATGGCGATGCCTATGAGAGTCCCGAGATGAAAATCTAGAGAATCTTCCCTTCGGCAGTGCAATGACGGGAAAAGAAGCTTCTGATGTATCAACACAGCACTGATTATGACGAAAAATCTTCTCATTTATGCTTACACCAGCCTCGTCTGCTCTGAGTTTCATCCATCTCCTCTTCTCTAGCGAAGTCTATGAGCTATTTGCAGAAGAGTTGTGAAGAAGACGACACTATTGATGTTCAGTATTGTTGGGTTTTGTAATAATAGATGGGTTGGGCTTAGTGTTTAGAAAAGAAACGGAAATCAGGTTATTAGGACCCCAAGTAACCTTTCTTTTTAAATTTGTAAACTCTTGTGGCCCATTACGCAACTTATCTAAAAAATCATTGTGGCTGGGCTTGGGTAAAGTCTGTGGGCTGGGCTTGTCATTCAGGAAGGAGATGGATAAGTGGTTGCTGGCCCTATGTAACAGTCCTCTTAAAATCCTTAGTAGCCTATGGCCCATGACGTACTAACAGCCCATTATCCATAGGCTTAGCACACCCAGAACTCAAATCAGGCCCAGACTTAGGTCCATCAGACACCATTGCTTGAGAGGCACCTGCGATGCCACGTACCCATCCACGTGGTTGGTATCCATTAAGGCGATCATAATGAAGATTTAAAGGGCGCTGATTAAGGGCGTTATGCATACATTTTGTGGGTCTGTGTTCCCCACTCGCAACCGGGGCGTTAACAAACACTCATCTATCCTTGGGGGCTGAGATGGATTTGCAGTTGCCGGCGACGTCCACTATTGTTTGTTTCAATAGACATGAGGTGGGAACCCTCACCAACACCATAATAGGACTTCGGAAGGATACAAGGTGAATTTTCCTCCATCAAGTTGAACTTAAAGGCCACTTGTTGGTCTTCAACGAAGACAAACTCTGGCACCGCACCTCTGATAAAAACATAAAGAAGAACTCTCTCACCTCTCGCCAAATCATCCGCCTCCACACCTCTTAATCCACCACATAAGTCTCCTATGGCTTCGAATAGCCTCTGGCACCAGAGATAAAAAGGTAAGCTGTACATCATCACCCTTCTTGTCCTTTCTCAGTCTTTCACTGCTGAACATCCCACTGCAAAATATCAAATATCGATGTATAAAATAGCGTCTCCCCATCTCTTCTTCCCTATATCCAGAACCCTTCGTGCCTCTACCTCCGATGGTAGCCTGAATAGAAAGAGGCCGTCAGGTAGGGATGAAACCATCACCCCATACGATACCTTCCAAGACTTCGTCGCCTATGCCTCAATCCCCTCAATACACCCCACATCTCGATCAAAATGGCCAACCAAACAAGATTTTAGAACAGATTCTCGTTCCGTTATGCTTTAGTGATCAACCCTAAAAACCATGTCTTTGCCGATTGTATAACTTTTGATCTCTCCGTGGAGATTGAGGCGTGGAAGAGTCACCACATTGAGATATGACCGTAGCATACCACGAATCCCTACCAAAGAAACCAAAGATGACAATAGAAAAAGAAGAAGAATCAACAGATGCCGGAGTAAAAGACTCCGACATCAGAGAGGGTAGAGAGAATAGAGAGAAAAGTCAGCATGAAAAAATTTCTTTATATCACTCAATAATTTTATGTACATGAAAGCACAAATTTGTTTGCAAACATAAGTTAAAGAGAAAGAGATGTAGGTTTGCAGACTTTTGTTGTATTCTTTGTCGAGAATAAATAATCAGCATTCCTTATTTTACAAATTTGTTAGCAACAATTTAAGAGTAGCTTTAAGATTAATCTTAATTTAAGAGTAGCTTTAATCCAACTTGTGGTATGTTTGTGGTTGTATTAGTTTTTTATCTCCATTTCCATTCATGGGACAAAATTAGGTTCAAGCATACATCTCTGCTCCAAATCTGGTTTTGGAACCTTCCAAAAGCCTAGTTGTTAGCTTGTTACCTATAGGCATCAAATTAGATCTATACAATATGGGTGTATGCTATTGACTCTCAACTGTTTTGATAATTTATCAGTTGATGATAGACAATATTGTTGTGAAGACTTGTTACTGCCACTGAAATGCTTTTAAGACCTCCTTGCTCTCCAATTACCTGCCATTTTCTGGCATTTGATGGTTAAAATTATATATCAATCCCAAAGCTTGAAAGCAAAAAGGTTGATCTTTAAATTACAAGTGATGGTTCATGGCAAATGAAGTTATGGTTGTCCCATTCCAAGTGGAAAACAATGTCTATTCATAGCTATGTATATGTATATTGCTTCGTGGAATTTAGAATCAAAATTTTTTCTTTGCATGTTAGAATACATTATCTGAGGCTAAAATCTTGTTCGAAGAACCTTGTCCTTCACTGTCCTTAATTGTTTAATTTAGTAACTGTTGTCATCATCATCATTATCATCATCCTTGCCTTTACCATACGAGGAATGAGGTCGGTAACATAAATATATATATATATATATATATATATATATATATATATATATATATCCTGAGAACCATAACAGTCCCATCTCTGATCAATATTTTGGAGTCACGGAGTTGTCATACTCCGTCATCGAACGTGTGAATGAATCCATATATACATGCATACATATAATGATATATATATATATATATATTTATTTATTTATTTATTTATATAATAGATATAATTATGTATAGAGAGAGTATGAAGAGAGAGACAAAAGGGGTCATCTACGCATGACACTGACAGCTGGATGTATGGGCCATAAACCTTATCGGCGTCGAAATGGTTGGCGCACAGTCTTTGATCCGCATTCAAGCAGTCAAACGGATCGATGACAGTGAAGACCTACAATGTGAGCTCGTAAAAGTCGATTGTGGAGTCGAAGCTTTTGTTCATAACGGAGATTAACACTGATTACTTGGACGGGTTGATGAGGATATTCACTTCGACGTCCGGTAGCAATGACAGTGAACCAGGTGTGGCAAGTGGGGGATTTTGAGATGAATGGTATGCCAGATAAGTATGAGTTTCAACCAGCGAATCTCTCTCACCTAGTTCGGAGAGGATGGGTTTGCCAGTGGGTGGTGGTTAAGGCGTGGCGATGGTTGGGGTGGTGGTAGTTCATGACGGTGGTGGTTCACCGGAATGTCTTGCCAGACAGGAAGGGTTTGTTGGTGGGTGGTGGTCAAGGCGTGGCAGTGGTGGATGGTGGGTGGTGGCGGCCGTTCATGAAGGGTTTTGGGGCTCTAACAGTATTTCGAGAGAGAGAGATAATTGTTAGGACCTTAGGTGAAAGGTAATTTGTACGCAAATGTATAGGTGCTTGTCAAGTTATAAGTTATCAAATACGAAACTACAACTACTTTTAAATATAGGCTCCAAGAGTGGTCAAAAATCAAAATTTCCCTTTTTTAATTTTTTTATAAAGCCAAACACTCTGTTCCACATAAGATAGTTGACCTAATATATGTCTTACAGAATTTTCCTTTTAGCTTATTCGGTATCTTTTATGCCATGAGACACCACTAGCCTGTCTCTATTCTGTTTTTATCTAATCCTACTAGTTATATCATTTTTCATCTCCCCATTATTTTGTATTATTGATCCTAAATACGTAAAATTGTTTGAGGGGTAATTCATTGATTTTGAATTGTCATTCTCCAAGACACACTATTAAATTCACATTTTTTTCCCTGAATGAGTTTGATTTTATTCATACAAAAATAAAGTACATGATAATATCCAAAAAAGGCTAAGGCAGACAACAAACAAACTAGGGCATACCCTATTACAAAAAAACAAAATCCTTTCCTGCCTCTCCAGTTAGAATAATGAATGTAGATCAGCCACACACAGGCCTTTGGCTTTGACCAGCCTTAATAACAAGCTTTAACAACACTCTGATGAGGTGACCTTCTAGGGATCAAAATCCTTTCCTGCCTCTCCAGTTAGATGCACGTTATGAAAATGTTGTAATGTGGGGTTGAACATCATAACATTTTTATAAAGTATATTACTAACTAGACAGGACATGACACTGTTTTGCAGGAAAGGATTTTACTCTGACCTTCAAGTACCTCCATGCAATCTATTGTTTCTCTCAGTCCAAAGACTCCAAAGATAGTTGAAAAAGAAGCATTTAGAGAGTTTAGACTTCATATTATATGTGGAATACAAAGTCTTAAACCAACTAATTACTTGCTCCAGACTATGATGCTGCAGTAAACCAACCCAGTGACAAATATTAGTAGACCAGTACCAAAATATCCTAGCTGATGCACAAGACCAGAATAGGTGATCCTTGCAATCCTCGCCTCTATAGCAGTTACGACATATGGGAGCCAAAACCATCCCTCTCTCCCTCCTCAAGTTGCTAAGAGATGGATAAACGTTCTGCAATTTTAACATAACAACAGTAGAAACTCTAGGTCTGCACCTGCTCCGAGCAAGGTCATAACAAACAACATTCTCCCTGAATTCTACACTGATTCCATGTTTCGAAACAATTATGTCATTATCTTCATGCTAGATAAAATTCTGAAGGTGCTGAAGAATTGAAATTATGCATGATAAGCCTAGGCTCATTCACAGGACTTCCTCTCCCTATATATGTTTCATTTATTTGTTGTACACAAAGCGCGTGCACACACATATTTAATTATTTATTCATGTCTGCACCAAAATGTTGTACATATTTTCATTAAAAAAATGTACCTATTTTTATTTCCTCTCTCACTAGTTATTTTCTCTTCAATTGTTCTAATTCTCACTTATTTTGTAGATTGAACTCTAAATCAAATTGAAGTTGAGCACTCTGAATGATGTTGAGCTGCAATTACACTAAAGCTTGAGAATATTACTTGAATGAGAAACATGTGTGTACCAGGGGAGTCCTTATTCCTGGGGATCTTTGTTTCAATATATATATATATATATATATATATATATTTTCTCTCTTAAATTTATTTGGAACTTATTCACAGTATAAATTCTCAGCAATTTTTGTGTCTTTTTTTTTTTCAAACCAATTTAAGTTTTCATTCTTATGGGTAAAGAATCCCACGTGCAACACAAGTGCACCTTTACTAGTGTGTGTGTATATTTGTTGACCTATTGGGTTTGTTAAAGCAATATTCCATAATCCACCATCGTAAACATGTCTTCCCTGGGTTCTACATGGACCTAACAATTATCAGAAAAATGTTTTTCTTTTCTTAAATATTATTGGAAAAATGTTATTTTAATTCAGTTTGGACGGTACGTATTGCTCTAAAATAGTTTTACTTAACAGTTAATCAATTTGGAATAATTTGACCTAAATAAAAATGGTTACTGATTATTGTTTTTTAAAAGAATAGTTCTTTATATTGCGACTTCATGACACGTCAGAGTCCTCAATACAAGCTTTATTAGAAATATATATAATAAAAAATTGACTCATATTTAAATATTTTACAGAAATCCACATGCACTTAGCACAGTAGACGTGCGCGTGCACACACAAAAAACATTTTGGGTCTTTATGAAAATTAGGAAATCCAATATGGGAAAGTAATATAATAATAATAATAATAATAATATTATTATTATTATTATTATTATATAAATAAAATACACTAACAGGCCATACCAAACCTTTGGTTAACTTGATTCAGCTCAAATTTCTGTTCATCTTGTTGCAGTGAAAATACACTAATACTTACTCAAGCACATCTATATATATATATATATATATATATATATATATTCTATAGAAAACTTAATATAGTATAACATTATTATTATTATTTTTATGACGCCGGAACCCTAGTAATTATCCGTCCTTTAAACTTCTGGCTACTCGCACTGTGCCCACTAGTAATTATCTGTCAACTTCTGGCTACTCTCACTATGCCCACTAGTATTTATTTGTCCTTTAAACTCCTGGCTACTCAGCCTGATCCCACAGTGCGAGTAGCATTTTAAGTCTAGGTATATAATGAAAATAGATGGGTTTGAACCTGAGACATGACGCGGTCCAATTTGTTACCTTACCAACTCTACCAAGCTTCAGGGTGTATAACTCATTACTTGTTATAATAAAACTATTCATTACTTGTTATATTTAAACTAAACTAATACAGATGCAAGTATCTTACTCATGTACAAATATATATATATATATATATATCTTATATAATTTATATTTTCATATATTTTCTAATTGTTTATAATTCTATAAAAAAAAATAATAATAATAAATAAATAAAATAAAATAAAAATAGACAAAACAGTTTCAGACCTAAAATGCCTTAGGGTAATAATTGTCACATGAAAAGAAGTAAAATAAGGGTTGATGATTCTGCAAGACAGCAAATTGAAAATAAAATTCCATAATTTACAAAACATTCCTAAATAAATTCTATATATTATAAAATTCAACAGGGTACCAACAATTTTTAGATTGTAATAATTGTCACGTCAAATGAAACAAAATATATTAGAAAATCCAAAGTTATAAAGTAATTACAATCATACTATATATTAATTGCTCTCATGTTCTATTTCCACTGTATCTTTTTCATTTTCTTTTGAAGTAAGATTCAACCAAACTTACTCCAATTGTTTCAGCCCCAAAGACTGTTACTTTTCCTCCAAAAGGTTTCGTGGTACTGAGGAGATCTTAGGGAGTCCTGTCAACTACCTCATTGGTGCTTCATCCCAAATAATGACACTTGCTTTACGCATTAACTCTACTATTGAACTTTGCTTTGAAATGTTGCAAACTACGGACTTGATCTTAGCCAAAAGGCCGAGAAAGTAAGGTTAGCCAAAAGGCCAAGAAAATAGTACTACACTTGATCTTAGTTTGATCTTAGCCAAAAAGCCGAGAAAGTAGTACTATATTTGATCTTAGCCAAAAGACCAAGAAAGGTTAAGCAAAAGGCCGACCCAAAAAAAATTAATATTACACTTGATCTTAGTCAAAAGGCCAAGAAAGGTTAGCCAAAAGGACGAGAAAGGTATAATTATTATTTTTTTAGATCTATAGTTTTATAAGAGGCTTCCATGTAATTATTTATAACTTAAAACCGATGTGGGACAAGAAAAATGAATTTTATTGCGTACACTTTGATTTGGAGGGTGCACCAAAACTTGGTAGTAGTGCAATACCAAGGAGATGCTAGTATCACTAAAGTAGCAAGTTGCTCTAGTTGATCGGACCCAAAAAAAATTAGTACTACATTTGATCTTAGCCAAAAAGCCGATAAAGGTTAACCAAAAGGCCGAGAAATGTGTGATTAATATTTCTTTAGAACTATATATAATTTGAAATATATTTCATGTTAGAGTTTTAATAAATATTTTATTTGAATTTTATTAGGTAATAATTTTAGAGTTTCTATAATTTGAAATATATTGATAATTTATAATTTGAATTAAACTCTTTAAATAAATTTTTAAGAATTTTATTAGATAATTTGTAATTTGAATTAAACTCTTTAAATAATTTTTAGGTAATTTTTTTTTATAAAAACTTTTTTTATATATTAAAAAAGTTTAGTACTACACTTGATTTTAGCCAGAAGGCCAAGAAAGGTTAGCCAAAAGGTCGAGAAAGGTTAAATTTAGTACTACACTTGATCTTAGCCAAAATGCCGAGAAAGGTTAGCCAAAAGGCCGAGAAAGGTGTGACTAATATTTCTTTAGGTGTATAGTTTTATAAAAGGCTTTCATGTAATTCTTAATAACTCAAAACCAATGTGGGACAAGAAAAATGAATTTTATTAAGTACACTTTGATTTGGAGGGTGCATGAAAACTTGGTAGTAGTGCAACACCCAGTAAATGCTAAGATCACTAAAGTAGTAAGCTACTCTAGTTGACCGGACCAAAAAAAATTTAGTACTACATTTGATCTTAACCAAAAGGCCGAGAAAGGTGTGATTAATATTTATTTAGGTCTATTGTTTTATAAGAGATTTCTATGTAATCCTTTATAACTCAAAACCAATGTGAAATAAGAAAAATAAATTTTATTAGGTAATTTGTAATTTGAATTAAAATTTTTAAATTAATTTTTATAAATTTTATTAGGTAATTTGTAATTTGAATTAAACTCTTTAAATAAATTTTAGATATTTTTTTTATATTAATAAATAAATATTGAAATACTAAGGTCGAGAAAATAGTACTACACTTAATCTTAGCCAAAAGGTCGAACCAAAAAAAATTAGTACTTCACTTGATCTTAGCCAAAAGGCCGAGAAAGGTTAGCCAAAAGGCCGAGAAAGTAGTATTACACTTGATCTTAGCCTGATCTTAGCCAAAAGGCCGAGAAATGTTAGTCAAAAGGCCGAGAAAGTAGTACTACACGTGATTTTAGCCAAAAGACCAACAAAGGTTAGCCAAAAGGCTGACCTAAAAAAATTTAGTACTACACTTAATCTTAGCCAAAAAGCTGAGAAAGGTGTGATTATTATTTCTTTAGATCTATAGTTTTATACCATGTAATCCTTTTTACTTAAAACCAATGCGGGATAAGAAAAATGAATTTTATTAGGTAATTTGTAATTTGCATTAAACTCTTTAAATAATTTTTTGTTTATAAAAACTCTTTTTTTTATATTGATAAATAAATACTAAAATACTAGGACAAGAAAAATGAATTTTATTAGGTAATTTTAATTTGAATTAAACTCTTTAAATTAATTTTTATGAATTTTATTATGTAATTTGTAATTTGAATTAGACTCTTTAAATAATTTTAAAGGTTAACCAAAGGGCCGAGAAAGTAAGACTATACTTGATCTTAGCCAAAAGGCCGAGAAAGGTTAGCCAGAAGGCCGAGAAATGTGTTATTATTATTTCTTTAGGTCATAATTTTATAAGAAGATTCCATTTAATCCTTTATAACTCAAAACCGATGTGGGACAAAAAAAAAAATTGAATTTTATTAGGTAATTTGTAATTTAAATTAAACTCTTTTAATTGATTTTTATGCTGTTTAAATTAATATTTATGAATTTTATTAGGTAATTTGAAATATATTTCGTGTTAGGGTTTTAATAAATTTTATTTGAATTTTATTAGGTAACAAAATTTTATATTTTATTTGAATTTTATTAGGTAATAATTTTTAGCGTTTCTATAATTTGAAATATATTTCGTGGTAGAGTTTTAATAAATATTTTATTTGAATTTTATTAGGTAATAATTTTTAGAGTTTCTATAATTTGTGTTAGAGTTAAAATATATTTTGTGTTAGGGTTTAATAGAAACTCTTTTAAAATCTCTTTTTATATCAATTAATAAATATTTTTTTATATTAATAATTCTTGTCTAATTCGATTTTCTTTTATTAAAAAATGCATAATAAATAAGTAATTTATGCTAGAGTTTTATAGAAACTTTTCAAAAGGCGAAGAAAGTAGTACTACATTTGATCTTAGCCAAAAAGACTAAGAAAGGTTAGCCAACAAGCCGACCCAAAAAAATTTAGTACTACACTTGATCTTTAGCAAAAGGCCGAGAATGGTTAGCCAAAAAGTCGAAAAAGGTGTGACTATTATTTTTTTAGGTTTATAATTTTGTAAGAGGTTTCCATGTAATCTTTTTTACTTAAAACCAATGTGGGATAAGAAAAATGAATTTTATTAGATAATTTGTAATTTGAACTAAACTCTTTAAATTAATTTTTATAAATTTTATTAGATAATTTGTAATTTGAATTAAACTCTTTAAATAATTTTTAGGTAATTTTTTGTTTATAAAAAATCTTTTTTTATATTAATAAATAAATACTGAAAGACTGAAACTCTTTTTAATATCAATTAATAAATAATTTTTATATTAATAATACTTGTCAGATTAGATTTTATTTTATTAAAAAGCTCATAATAAATAGATAAGTAGGTAATTTGTGTTAGAATAATTTTTAGAGTTTTATGTTAGAGTTTTAATAAATATTTAATTTGAATTTTATTAGGTAATAATTTTTAGAGTTTCTATAATTTGAAATATATAATTTGAAATGTATTTCTTGTTATTGTTTTAATAAATATTTTATTCGAATTTTATTAGGTAATAATTTTTATATTTTATTTGAATTTTATTAGGTAATAATTTTTATATTTATTTGAATTTTATTAGGTAATAATAAGTCCAAGAAAGTAGTACTACACTTGATCTTAGCCAAAAGGTCGAGAAAGGTTTGCCAAAAGGCCGACCCAATAAATATTAGTATTTCACTTGATTTTAGCCAAAAGGCCAAGTAAGTAATACTACACTTGATCTTAACCAAAATACCAAGAAAGGTTAGCCAAAAGGCCGACCCAAAAAAATTTAATACTACACTTGGTCTTAGCCAAAAGACCGAAAAATGTGTGATTATTATTTCTTTAGGTCTATAGTTTTATAAGAGGCTTTCGTGTAATTTTTTTTACTTAAAACCAATGTGAGACAAGAAAAATGAATTTATTAGTAATTTGTAATTTGTAATTTGAATTAAACTCTTTAAATTAATTTTTATAAATTTTATTAGGTAATTTGTAATTTGAATTAAACTCTTTAAATAATTTTTAGGTAATTTTTTGTTTATAAAAATTCTTTTTTTATATTAATTAATAAATACTGAAATACTGAAACACTGAAACTTTGCACATTTAATACATTTAATAATAGTATAGATATAGATATATATAGTGATAAAGTAACTTACCCATCAATTTTCGGCAAGTTATTTTACGAAGTTATTTTACGCGGCAGTTCAATGGACTCGACTTAAACTTTTGTTAAACACCACAAAAGTAAATATATATATATATATATATATATATATATATATATATATATATATATATCTAACAAAAATCAAAAAAATATTTTACAAAACCTAATGTCAAATAAATTTTTTTTTTTTAATTTTAAAATTTGAGAAATTATTAAATGATCTAATCTAATTAGAACAACATACTGAAGAAGATACTACAAAGAAACTAAGGCTTTGTTTGGTTAGATAGAATCAACGGGAAAAGAAAGGAAATAGAAAATTTTAAAACTTTTTTATAGTTTGGTTAGATAGAAAATGAAAAGTTCTAGAAAATTAGAATTCTTCCAACTCTTTATTTTTTTCAAAATGTTAAATTTTATTTTCCCGTGAAAGCATGTCTTTTTATTTAGAATTCCTATTTTATCCAACAACTTATATTATTTTACCCAACAATTTCATTTTATATTTGGAAACAATAACAATTTTTTACTAGGTTTCAAATAATTAGAGTCCATAGCAACTTTATCATTGATAAATTTGTAATTAGCTTGACTTCCTTTCCTAGTTATTTTGCATCATATATGAATAATAAGAATTCAAAAGCTCTAAATTAATTAAAAACTTTATCATTTTTTAATATATTTTATTACTAATTTTTTTATATTTTATTATTTTATAAAATAAGGGTAAGTTAGGTATCCAAACTATAATATGATATTTTCCTACAATTTGGTTGAAGAAATTTTCATCCTAACCAAATACATATTAGAAAATTAATTTTCTTTTCATTTACTTCACTTTTCTTTTTATTTTTCATTTCTTTTCCTTTCTTGTTATTTCCATCTAACCAAAAGGAGAGTAAGGTTTCTCAAATAGAGAGACTTTTGCTCCATTTTGTATCCCTCGTTCTCTCTTTACACCATCATCATGAAATAAAAGCTTAAATTTACTATGTGCATTTATCCGATTTAGGAAACTGAATAAAATATTTAATCGATAGTATCCATCCATCCTAAACATAAGATAAGCGATGGTTGTTTGAAAATTCTCCAAATATCTTATTCGACTAAATTAAATAAATTCTTATTTTTAAATTTCAATAATGTATTATTAATATTGTTTGAAGTTAAGTCACATAAAGTGGGAATGAGAGCGAATTCGTGAGCAAGAGCGTCAGAACGACAGAATTAAGTCATAAATAGTGAAAATTTGAACAAGAACGTGCACGGAGCGTGACTTAGGTTTTAAGGGCAAAGTGTAATAAATCCCTTCAACTATTATTGGAAGAAACTCCCATTGATTAATTTTTTGTCAACCATTCAAGGGGGTAACATTGTGGATGGAAAATATTTTTGAGATAAAAATGCCCTTATTTCTATTATAGAATAAATTGCATTAAATCTCCATCTACTTTGAATTTTTTTGCAAGAAACTTCCGTGAAGAAAAAAGTGCACATAAAACCCCCTAACTATATAATTTGTTGCAAAATGATGTTATAATAATTAAAATGCCCCTTAATACAAATTTAATAAAATGGCGTTCCTTAATATTAAATTAAAATTAATACAAACTCATTTGGCATAGTGTTGTTATAAAAAAAATTTTTTTTTTTTTTTTTTTTTAAATGGTGGGTCTATAAGAAAATGAAATACCTTGAAACAATTTTTAAAATTTTCTTAAATTTTTATTTTTAAAAATTCAAAGTAGATGAGGGTTTTATGCATTTTTTCCTATATAATAGAAATAGGGGCATTTTCGTCTCAAAAATATTTTTCATTCCCTCTCACTCTAATGCTATGTTTGGTTGGAGGGAAGGATTGAGGGGGGATAGATGAGAGGAGGGATGGATAAATATTTTTTGTATTTGGTTAAAGGGAAGGGAAGAGAGGGAGGAAACAAGAAGGGATGAACCATTCCTCCTCCTTTTATGTTTTTCTATCAGTTCACTTTTGGGGGGAAGGGAGAAAAGAAAGAAGGCATAACTACCTAGGAATTAGTAATTTACAATTTTAACCTTTTCAAAAATTTTAAAATAAATATCTACCTTTTATAATTTTATATAAAAGGGTATATCGGTAAAAATAATATAAAAACTCCCATTCCCTTCCTTCTAACCAAATAAGAAAAAAGTATCACTTTATTCATCATTTCTACTATCCATTCCATTTAACCAAGTATAAAATGGGAAAGACACCCTCCCTAGGGATATCTCATCCATCCCTCCTCTTATCTCTTCCATCTATTTTTCTATCCTTCTAACCAAACGAAGCATAAGTCACACAATCCTTTTTAACGGGTGTAACTCTCACGCTTCGAGCGTGCATTCTAACTCAAATTTTTACTATTTATGACTTAATTTTGCTGCTCTCATATTTCCACTCTTAAATTTACTCTCACTCCCGTTCCCGTTCCCGTTCCCGTTCCCGTTTGATGTGACTTAGCTCCCATTTACTATGTTACCCCCTTCATAAACTAAATTTTTATGTTTTTTTGTGAAAAGTAACTAATTTTATTTTACTTTCATACTTAGATAATTTCAAATTGTTTAATCTATATTTTGGTGAAAGAAAATTATGCAAGTACACAATTTTGTACTTGATTTAACGATAACAGAAAGTTCCAATGATCTTGACGTGGCTGAAAAATACAGGCGAAAATTGTGATTGTAAATATAAAATAAAAATAAGATATATTATATATAATTATTGAAAAACTATTTATATTTAATTACCCAAAAAAACATTATTATAATAATTATTATATATATATACACACACGAATATATTTTTTTTAATTTTAAATTTTAAAAAATTATTAGATGGTCTAATCTAATTAGAATACTGACGAAAGACGATGCTACAAAGGAACTAGGTTTCTGAAATCATAGACTTTTATTCCATCGTCATGAAATAAAAGCTTATCTGTGATTCTCTCTGCGTCGTCTTCTCTTTTTCAGTATATGTTTTGTCTTCACAGGTAGACCTCGAATCGTCTTTGTTTTGAGAGTCTCAATTCAATCTAACATTTCAAGAAATTCTAATCGTCTTGATTCTATTTATTTATTTATTTACAAATTAAATAGTTTATTGAATTCAATCTTCGCATCTGAATTTCAATTGACTTCATAATCATCATCATTGTCGTCGCCTTCTTCTTTCTCATCTCCCACTGTTTTAATGCTTCTGTTAATTTGTCAAACGACTAATATTTTTAATGCTTTATTAGTTTTTTCACTTTTCAAAACAATTATATATACAAATATATACACTCACTCCTCTGTTTTGTTTGTGAGTAAGTGAGAGTGTATTTATTCAATGCCTCAAGGCATACATATACATGCTTTGAATTAAACCTCTCCTCATATATCGTTTTCTTTGCAGTGATCAGTGTTCGGATTTCTCATATCTGAATTTTCCATGTGGTTTCATCTTCAGGGTTTACACATACAAACACACACGCAGGCACAAATACATATATATATTACTGTTAGAAGAACTCATATATTTATATATATGTATATATATATTCTTAGCTGAATTTAAGGAAATTTTGTTTGCTGGGATTTATTTTGATGACACTAGCTAGTGATGGATACTAATAATTGGAGGCCGGTGAAAGGTGGTGAACTGGCAATGGAAGTGGGCGATTGGAGGACTAATTTCCATGCAGATGGGCGACAAAGGATTCTCGATAAGATGTAAGCTTTTTCCTAACCATAATAATCTTTCTATCCGATGTCAATTAACTTAATTTTGTAGAATACAGAAGCAAACATAAATGTTAAGAATTAATGGTTCCACTTGGGTGCTTATGTTTTTCGTTCTTGGGATTAATATGAAATGTGAATTTCACCTGATAAAATATGGTTACATTTAGAGGTTGGATCTAAAAATGCTTTAATTTGGAAGTAAGAATTTATGGTTAGGGTTTAATCTTTGTGCTAAAGTCTGTATTTTTGACTGGTATGCAGTTTTCTGGTGACGTTTTGTACAACTTTGCAGTCTATATATTTGATTGATGCGGTTTTGAGATGATGCTTTCATACAGTGTTTTTGCTTAACATCTTATGAAGAATATAGACCATGGTGATTGGTGACTAGGTTGCAGGGTATCAAAAATATTTTATTTTTTCTTAATTCATACACTGCTGAAATGCAAAGCATTGAGGCTGAATTGCAGGACATTAAATATGGTAAGAATAAAATATAAGGTGTATAGTTATAGATGTCTAGATAAAGGGACAATGTAAAAGGAGATACAGAATTATAAACCCAAGTACTAGGTGGTGGAAATTAGAAGGGGAGACATTAATATGTTAAAGAGTTGGATGCTAAAAGAAGCAACATGGAATGTAGAAGATGAAACAAACTTAATATGGGATAGGATGAAAAAGATGTCCTTGGAGGATGAAAAAAAAACTAAACCATCATCCAAGGGAACCTGGGGGTGGAATGAATGGGTCCAAAACAACGTAAAAACAAAACGGGAATGCATAAACTTTGGCAAAAAACTAGAAATATAGAAGCCTTTGGAAATACAAGGATGTCAATGAAGAAGTTAAAAAATCATTGGAAAAAGCTAAATCTAAAGTATACGATGATCTTTATACTAAATTAGGCACAAAATATGGAGACAATATATATATATATATATATATATATAGATATATGAACTTGCTAAACTAAGTAATAGAAAAATAAGAGATTTTAGCCATATTAAATGCTATGTTACCGGGACTCGGACATGGGTGTGTGTCTAGAGGTCGGATTTGTCTATTCATCAAATTGTCGGACACAGGGACACGAATTAAAAGTGTCCAAAATTCAGACACGGACACTTGGACACCATATGCATAATATACTCAGAACTTCAAAATGCATATTACAGTAAATATTTTGTTCTTGTTACATGGTTTTGAAGAGAGACCGTGAATTTGTAAGTTAACTGTAAATTGTAAAGTAACTAGGTTGAATTTTTTTAAAATGCTACACAGTTAGCTAAGTCAAAACTGTCAAAGTTATACTTAGTATATACGAGTACAATATATATTAAATATATATACATAGATGGTGGGCTGTAACTCACATATTATTATTATTATTATTATTTTGATAAGTAATAATTGAAATAAAATAGGCGTTCAAGAGGGGAACGCATCCCTCATACAAAAGTGGAACTAGGGATTAAGATCCCAAAGAAGCCAAAAAAATAATTAAATCTTTGGAAGAAGAACATGACTTCCTCTTCACATAATTGAAAAGAGAGCGTATGATGTGAAGTTTCAGAATCGCCGTGGACGATTCGTTCCCTTCGAACATTCTACTATTCCTCTCCTTCCAAATGCACCACCAAACACAATATGGTACAACTCTCCAATAATCGCGAACAGCGCTACTCACACGGTAGCCTCTCCATATACAAATCAAATCCTTAGGATAACGAGGCATAACCCAACGCATACCAAGCAGACAAAAGATAAGATTCCAACAATCCCTCGCCATAGGACAATGCATGAGAATGTGAGCAACTGACTCCCCATCTTGTTTGCACAAGCAACACCAATTAACAAGACAATTGTCCCTTTTCCTTAGATTATCAATCATAAGGATCTTACCCCAAACAGCGGTCCAAACAAAGAATGCCACTCTAGTTGGAGCTATAGAACACCAAATAGTCTTCCATGGAAAATCAACAATATCGAAATCAGAAAGACATAAGAATAAGGAACGAACTTCAAAGTGACCATGGGAAGAGGGAATCCATGTCATATCATCACTACCTCTACCAATTGCCTCCTGTCGATACAACAAATCCAGGAAAACACATACCTCGTCCACCTCCCAATCCTGAAAAGAGCGTCGAAATTGCACGTCTCACGTAATCCCTCTGCTACCAAGTTAATAACAGTTGGCTACGTAGACAAGTCTATCAACTGCAATGCTGTATAACTTGGGAAATAAACAAGATAAAGGCCGGTCTCCACACCAAAGATCCTCCCAAAAGCGTACACATCTGCCATCTCGAACTTTGAATCTGATATGAGTAGAAAAAGCATCCCATCCCTTCCTTATGAATTTCCACGCCCCAACTCCTCCCACGAGAGAAACCGGACGAGTAGACCAACCACCACTCTCTTCCCTATATCGACATGAAACTAGCCTTCGCCACGGGCGATGTCTTTCCCTTCCATACCTCCACAATCATTTACCCAAAAGAGCTTGGTTAAAGGGGACCAGTCTTCTAATACCAAGACCACCAAACTTCATTGGCTTGCAAACTTGTTCCCAATTGACTAGGTGATACTTAAATCCATCACCTCTTCCACCCCAAAGGAAATCCCTTTGAATTTTTTCAATCCTATCAGCAATAGAGCATGGAATTTGGAACATAGATAAAAAATATGTGGGAAGGCTCGATAAAGTGCTCTTTATAAGCGTAACTTTTCCTCCCTTAGAGAAGTATTGCTTTTTCCATCCTGCTAATCTCTTCGCATACCTATCAATCACAGGGTCCCAACACCCCACTGTTCTAGAGGAAACCCCTAAAGGCAAGCCCAAATACTGAATTGGAAAAGAACTCACCCTACACCCAAGGACTTCCGCTAAAGAAGAAATATCCTGAACATCTCCAACCGGAACAAGCACACTTTTAGCCACATTAACTTTTAGACCACAGACAGCTTGAAAACAGGCTAAAATGCATCTCAAATATCTAAGCTCAGACACATTAGCATCACAGAAAACCAGGGTGTCATCCGCAAAAAGTAAATGAGAGACCTCCATCTGATGGACAGGATCTCTTCCCACCATAAAGCCCTTGATGAGATCAAGATCCTCTGCTCGTCGCATAAGTTTGCTTAAGCCCTCCATAACAATAAGAAAGAGGAAAGATGACAGGTAATCTCCTTGTCTTAAACCCCAAGAGCACCCAAAAAAACCAGTGGGAGACCCGTTCACAAGAACAGAGAATTTGACAGATGAAAGGCATGTCTCAATCCATTTCCTCCATTTACTTCCAAACCCCATTCTCTGAAGCAAATAAAGTAGGAAATTCCAATTCACACAATCATACGCTTTCTGAATGTCAAGTTTGCACAAGACTCCGAGAACACCACTTCTCAATCTGGAATCCACACATTCACCTGCAATAAGAACTGAATCAAGAATTTGTCTTCCTCCAACAAAAGCATTCTAGGAATTTGAAATTATCCCATCCATCATTCCCCTCAACCTAAGAGCAAGGACCTTAGCCAGAAGCTTGTAGATACATCCCACTAAGTTGATAGGATGAAAGTCTTTAATGTCAGAAGCACCTCCCTTCTTAGGGATAAGGGCAATGAAAGTTGTATTAAGCGACTTCTCAAAAGCGCCAGTAGAATAAAACTCCTGAAAAGTGCCCATGACATCGTTTTTCACAACTGTCCAACTTTCCAAAAGAAACCGCATAGTGAACCAAACTCACATATTATGAGTTTATATTATATATTATATTATTTGTAATATAAAACAGTGGGCCACATGGGTTATACAACTTATCCGGTAAAAAACAATGGTAATGAATAGTGGGTTACAGCCTTAAAGCTGTTACCCACTGTTTTTAATTCACACTGTAACCCACTGTTTATTAGTATAAACTTATGTGGGTACAACCCACCCACTTGTCTTATGTTAGGCAAAAAGAAAAAAAGGTACATGCATGAAGGAAAAAAAAAAAGTAAAAAAGAGGCATATACAACACTAATACCAAGTCATCTTCTACCTTTCCTCTCAAAACCCTATTTTGAACCAGTTGAAACCAAACCTTGAGCTTCTGAACAAGATGAAGACTCATTAGCAATGTCCGGTGGAGAAGAGGGAGAGCCCTACGCATATCCTGTGTCGTGTCGACACGGGCACTCTCACAGGAGCCGGTGAGTCCAGGTAACATAGATTAAATGCATCAAGAGTTGGTGCTTATAGGACGGGAGGATTGCATGTGCCTGATGGTGGACTGTGGAGTACTCCAAGAGACCTTACACCACCGTCAACAAAAAAAAAAAAACCAAGAGTAAAGATTTAAGAGTTTTAGTAAAAGAGAACGAAATCAAGGGAAGATGGAAGAGTTACTTGGATTTTGAGAAGAGTCAGAATGTGATGTTTATTGCTCTCATTCCAAAGAAGGGGGGAAGCGTTAGGCGTCAAGGATTTTAGACCTATCAGCTTGGTGGGGAGCATTCGGCATTGAGATTGAGGGAAGTTTTGGACAATATCATTTCGGATTCTCAAAACGCTTTTGTTGGAGGCCGTTAGATTCTTGATTCTGTCCTTATTGTCGGTGAGTGCGTGGACTCCAGACTCAACAGTGGGGTTCTTAGTGTTCTTTGCAAGTTAGATATCGAGAAGGCTTACGACCATGTTAGTTGGAGCTTCCTTATTTACCTCATGGAGAGGATTAGGTTTGGAGAGAGATGGAGGCTTTCATGACAAGGGTAGTTGACTTGGGTTTTCGGGAGGCTTCAGGGAGGGTAGGGATGCTGCTAGTCAGTTGGAGATCTCCCATTTGATGTTTGCAGACGACATGTCGGTTCTTTGTGATGCGGATGTGTCTCAGATGAGATACTTGAGATGTGTTTTGATTTGGTTTTAAGTCGTCTCTGGCTTGGAAGTCAATGTTGGAAAAAGTGTCCTTGTACCGGTTGGGGAGGTTCCCGATATCTCT